TCCCTATGCTCCAGTCATGAGTTTCCAAGGCTATAGAAGCCTTTTGAATTCACCGACTCTTATCTTATTTAGACAAGGTCATAGTCAAAGTGGAAGTTCTCTCCTCCCTTCAGAGAAAGGTACCTCCTTCTTTGAAGACCTGTTCTTTCCACTGGGATCTCACTCACAGAGATCTTTCATTTAGGTTTTGTTGTTGTTGTTGTTTGTTTTTGTTTGTTTGTTTGTTTGTTTTTCCAGAGTGTCTTGGCTTTCCACGCCTGAAATATTCTCATGGGCTTTTCAGCCGGATCCGAATGCCTTTAGGGCTGATTCTGAGGCCAGAGTGCTGTTTAGGACATCTGCTTAGGTCCCATTTCTAACATTTTTATGTCTCCTTTACAACATCCAGAGAAGGTCTGGAAATAAGAGATCATTAAAGATATGAAGGAAGCAGAAAAGTTTGTACTTAACAGTATAATTTTGGAGACATAATTATGAGTTTGAATCTTGCCTAGGTACCTTTTATAAAGGTAAATTAGTTCACTGTTCTAGGCCTTGTTTTTACGTGTAAAGCCATGTTTTACTCAAGTCATTCAGCAAATAGTTGCTGAGTATTGTATTTTAGGAATTGTAGGCACTGGAGATAGAGCAGTGAACATAATGTGAAAGTTAATTCCTTCATGAGATTTACATTCTAGAGTGGTAAGCAGACAACAAACAGGTGAGCCAGTAAATAAATATGAAGTATGTCAAATAGTGGTAAGGACTCTGAAGAAAAAGAAAAGCAGTGTAAGGGAGTAAAATGATGGGAAAATGCAAAGTGAGGAAAATAATACCTACCTAAAGGGATCTAACAGTGGAATTAAATAATTCATGCAAAGTGCTTAACACACAGTGCCTGGAAGAGTAAAAGAGTTGAAAAACAGCAGCTGTCTTTGCTATAGTTGTTGTTGCATATACAGGGTAGCTTGACTTTAAAAATCTGAGAGGATATAAGCATCAAGCCTATTGATGCTCATGTTGCAGTTTGGGAGCTGAGACTCAGAGAGATTTGACTTGCCCAAGGTCTCAGAATCTCAGAATGAAGTAGACACAGAGCCAGTCTTATCTCCAGGCTTCCTTACTTCCCATGATTTTTTTTTTTTTTTTTTTTGCATCAACAAGCCTACTGAACCCATGGCAAAGCTAGGAATCCTTCCAAGAAAAATACTGCACATCATCTTCAGGAAATTTCTTCAGATCCAGGCAGTACTAACAAGATGCAAAAGGCAGCTGCAAAGGTACACAGTCATCAAGTCAGGCAGAAATTGACACCAGTACAATGGGACATGGGCGTCCAGCTCTTTAACAGGGAAAGCTAAAGAGGGGAGTTGCAGGATGTGAGGGCGATCTGGCTGCGACATCTGTCACCCCTTTGATCGCCAGGGTTGATTCGGCTGATCTGGCTGGCTAGGCGGGTGTCCCCTCCCTCCCTCACCGCTCCATGTGCGTCCCTCCAGAAGCTGCGCGCTCGGTCGAAGAGGACAACCTTCCCCGCTAGAGAACCGGTCTTTGGTCAAGGGTATACGAGTAGCTGCGCTCCCCTGCTATAACCTCCAAACAAGCTCTCAAAGAGGGGAGTTGCAAGGGGAGGTTATGGGTGGGAAAGAGGTAGTTGTGGTAGAGTGTTGATTGGAAAATACAATAGGAAGATTTTCTGAAGTTCAGAGTTGCCTAGGTGAAGACTAAATGGGAAATAAAAGCTAAAACTTCCAATGAGGTGAACAGAATGAAACCAAAAAGCAAGGGACACTCATCCATAGGATATGGGTTCCTCAAGGCAAAGGGGCTTGATAGATTTCTTCTTAACCAGCTCACAGTCCCAAATCATTTGTTTGTTTTTTTTAAACATAGTTGGGGGGGGCGCTGAGGCATACCGGCTAAAGCTATCGCCTGCAGTGCCAGCATCCCATATGGGAGCAGGTTCAAGTCCCAGCTGTTCCACTTCTGATCTAGCTCTCTGCTATGGCCTGGGAAAGCAGTAGAAGATGGCCCAAGTCCTTGAGCCCCTGCACCCACATGGGAGATCCAGAGGAAGCTCCTGGCTCCTGGCTCCTGGCTTCTGATAGCCCCAGCTCTGCCCATTGCAGCCAGTTGGGGAGGGAACCAGCAGATGAAAGACCTCTCTCTCTCTCTCTCTCTGCCTCTCTTTCTCTCTGTGTGTAACTCTGACTTTCAAATAAATAAATAAATCTAAAAAGTTGAATTTAAAAAAATATCCTGTGCCAAACCTAGTGTTACACATCTGAAGAAATTCCAATCACTCTGTTGCCTGTGAATAGGAGGGATTTTTGGGGCAATTGAGCTTTTCTAAGGGGCTTAACATTACTCTCTTGTAGGTTGGTGTGGTGTCTGCATCAACTGACATTCAATGGAAAGTTAAGCTTAATAGAACACACTACCATCAAGTCAATGGGTAGTACACTAGAGGCCATACTTAACTTTCCCTTAAAAAAAAAAGTGAATGTTAGATCCATTATGAAAAGGTATGAGGATGATTCATGAAAATAGATTCTCCCTCACCACCAGGGTTCTGGAGCTACTGGAGAAAGTAATTCAAACATCAAAGAGATTTTCCATATGAGATATAAGGTATACTCCCCCATAGCAACTTTATCCATGGGCTTGCTAATTAATTGTTGTTGTTGTTGTTGTTTTTGATGTGTAGAAAACCCTTTCACACACTAAGCTCTTGTACTGTTGAAACTCACAGGCACTCTACTTCCAACACTGTTCACGTGCGTAAGCTGAGCAGGCAGGAATTAACAGCACAACTGGTGAAAATAGCAAAGACCAACAAAGTTGATCTCTTCTCCCTGGGCTCACCAGAAAGGAAAACACCCTCACACTGGAGAGAGCAGACTCATCCCAAAGGTAATCTCCCAACCTCTGAGTCTTGTGGAGGGGACTCAAAATAAATACAGCCTGTAGGATCAAAGGCCAGAGAGCCCCCATCGGCTCCAGGGAAAGTCCAGTCAATATTCTAGCAGGGGGAGGAATTGCTTCACTCACCCTCAAATCTCCAACCCCTGGCAAGGGGGAAGGGGGAGTTCCCCATGTGACTAGTGCTGAAATAAGGAAGGAAGGGGAATATGTGATGGAACTAGGAGTTCAAGTGAGAAATAGAGTAAAGGAAGGGAAGTGCACAGGCACAGACACTGGCAGCCACCAGGAGTGCAAGATTCTGTGGCAGCAGGAGGCTGGAAGAAAAGTCAGAAGTGGCTCTGACTACAATGGGGATCTTACTGGGTCTGCTGCTGCTGGGTCACCTAACAGTGGTCATCTATGGTAAGGCATTGAGTGGGACCTGGATACCATTACTGGCTCAGGCGAAAGACTGGGGATTGATGGTGAATGCTTACCACAGACAGCCTGTACTGACTAGTATTCTCAGCCAATGTGGCAGGCTCTCTCAGCTTTGGGCAAAAGGGAGGGAAGTAGTTAAAGGTTGCTGAAGAATCTAGGAAGTAATTGGGTAGAAACTTAAGCAAATTTCCTCTTGGAAAACATCTACATGATTTATCTATGGATTTTTGTATCTCAGAGACACCAAATAGATACCCAATGTCACCCTAAGACTGCCTCCATTTGCTCTCTTTTACTTGAAATTTTGCCATTAAATTTAATCTCTCTGACTCCTGGTTTTGGTTCCTTAGAATAGACATTGTCTAAGGCTTAGATGGAACTTTAGAAGTAACCTGTATCATGCTGCGTTATTATGAACACACGTCATCAATATTTATTCACATACTTAAAATGGCTGGGAGCTCATGTAATCAACTCAATGCAAGAGGAGCTCCCATTGTTGGGAATTTCTTATCTTTGTTGAAATTAATCTTTGGGTTCCATCCAAAGACCACAGCCCTATTTCTTGGGGCCACAAAGTGTGTATCTGTTCCATATGCCCTATGACAGCCTTTCAAAAGTCTATGGGGGACCTGCGCTGGCAGGTGGCATGGCAGGTGGAGCCGCTGCCTGCAGTGCCGGCATCCCATATGGGCACCTATCCGAGTCCTGCTGCTCCATTTCCAATCCAGCTTTCTGCTATTGCCTGGGGAAAGAGTAGAAGATGGTCCAGGTCCTTGGGCCCCTGCACCTACATGGGAAGACCCTGAGGATGCTCCTGGCTCCTGGTTTCGGATCTGCACAGCTCCAGCCGTTGCGGCCACTTGAGGGGTGAGCCAGTGGATGGAGGACCTCTCTCTCTCTGCCTCTCCTACTCTCTCTGTGTAACTCTGACTTTCAAATAAATAAATAAATTCCAAAAAAAATTATGGAAAGACACTATGCCCCCTTATTCTTCTCTTCTGCAAGCTAACCAGTCCCAGTTCCTCCAGCTTATCTTCATAAGATTTAGATTCTTACCCTCTTATGGACTAACTCAACTTTCCTCCGGACATAACCCAGTTTATCTGGTTTATTTGTGGGAAACGAATGCTGGACATGTATTGCAGAAGAGACCAACTTTCCTACTGTAGCATTCCCTTGCGTCTTCCACTACCCTCATTTATACCACTGCAAAGTGAGTTGTTTTCTCCAGAAACTGAGCCTGGGTAGTTGTTAAGTGAGACTCAATGTAGGATAAAGAAGTTCTCAGTGCAACCTTGCTTGTTGCATCTCCCTAGAGGGAAAGGCTGGATGGGTGTTAATTTGAAGTCACTTGTGAGGTCATAAATAACCCACTTTCCATAGCTAACCTAGATTAGGATTCCCTAACCTTGAGCTCTGTGATCCATCAAATTCTAGAACCTAGGAGTTACAAAGTACTCTGAATTGAGTCAACCGAGAGGGGAAAGAATTTTTCCTAGACCACAGAGCCTTGTTGGGAGTTAACATTCCTGAAGAATATTGTTCGATAACCACAGTATTTGTATTCTCTACCAGGCTTTAGAGTGTACCTCTACCTTCTCCAACTTGGTTTGAGCTGAGACTTATAGGGGCTTTGAGGAACATTATATAAATGTTAATTTTAAATCCTCTGTGTGTGTGTTTGTGTGTATGAAAAAGAGAGAGAGAGAGAGAGACATGAGAGCACTCACATGTGTCTTGTTCCTTCCCAAGTTTGTGAGCTCCAGCCCTAGAACAAGCCCCCATAGAATTGTATACTATAGATTGTATTGTATACTATAGATGTGATGTTCAGAATATACTGACTGGCCAATAATGCCTTCCCTCTCCCTGGGTCTCAGTGTCCCCAGCCCAGCTATGCAGTAAGAAGATTAACTTTGCTAGTCTAAAAGGAACTTACCAGCTCCCACAACTCTGTAGGAATGGCTTCACTGCTAAAAAGCCCCTAGAAGGGCAGAATGAACTGTCAGTTTCTTCCTGTGGGGCTAAGGCAAATGTTGAAATAATCATAATAAAAAGAAGTCCTAATACGCAAATTTTATGAACATTTGATAAACATCTATTATCTAAGCTAATCCTCTAACCAGGAGGCAACCCACAGCAGAGAGAAAGCAGACATGTGTTGGGGGTGGGGGATGTGCAGGACTTGGGGAATATCACCCTCTCTAAGATTATGGGAAGAGGAAGATGCAGAAAGGGACCCAGAATGTCGCACGTGCACAAAACCAGGACTTTATTTTCTTCTGGACCTTTACACAAGCTCCAGGATTTTGCTTTTCTGAATTCAGGTCCCAAGACCACGATGGGCCCTAGGATTATTCCCTCTTTCACCAACCAAACTCTCCTTCAACAGACCCTTTGACTGAATGTCTATCCCTGGCCTTTGTCCCAAGGGAAACAAATACTTGAAGGAAACACAATCTATCCTTAAGGGGGAAGGGCAAAGCTCTGAGATTCTGTGAAAGACTTTTAAGAAAGGATCTTGAAGATGGGGGCATTTTTTTTTTCATTCTAGAAGCTATCTAGCCCGAGGATGACATCCATGAAACCATGTGAGGTAGGCCCAGGTAAGGGGTTGCTGATTACAACAGTGACTTGTGTTTTAGTAAGCTAAGAAGGTAATAATTTTGTGTAGCATCTGAAATCCTGTAGTCTGGGTCTTCAGGACCACTTTTCTTCCAATGTGTAACTTTGGGCAGGTTTCTTTCTCGCTCTGGGCCTCAGCTTGCCCATATGTGCCATGAAAGAATATGACTAACTGGTTTCTAAAAAGCCTTCCAACTATGCCATTACAGAAGTCTCCAAATCCCATCCTTCCTGATAACCTCAACCCCTGTTGTATCAAGTGGCTTGCCATTTTCTGGTTCTCAGGTATTCATAATGGGCAGAACATTCCCCTAAGAGGTGGGGCTTTCCTGAAATGAATTTTTCCTACTCAACCTTTCAGGAAAGTCAGCATTATTGTGTAATATGGCCAACATTTCACACAGGGTGACAAGCTGATCCTGTTATTATGCCACTGTGTCCTCTCTGGCTGCCCTGCTACCCAGATGGCCTAATAGCCAACTCATAACTCACTAGAGTCTATCTGGTTGGGGAAGGAAGCTCCTAACCTTGTCATGTGATACCTTCTTCGGGTCAGTGTTAAAGCTAACAATGGTCAATTTAAATAACTCTTATTAAATAACTCTTATTAAATAACTCTTATTGAAGACTTGTAAAGGATAGGAAGAATCAAAGCTTATATGAGAAGTTTCCCTTGAGGCATAGGATAAGATCAACACCAATCACCTATTAAATACCAGTTATATGTTATGTGCTTTCACACTTATGAACACATTTATCTGCACAATAACCCTCCATGATGTTTATTACTTTCATTTTATTGATGATGATCTGAAATCCAGATAAGTTTAATAATTTATCGAAAGTAACATAAGTATAGAATAAGGCAGACCTTGGATCCACATGGTATTATTCTAACTACTTCATGAAGCTCTTCACTAGCAGTTTTTCTAGCCTCTCTGAGAACCATGGGGATAGGTGGAAGGTCAATACTATTGTGATTGTTACCTTGGAGATCAAGGAAGCTGAAGTATAGTACAATATCCTCTTTCTTATGATGTCCTGTGACTAACATCCTCTTTCTCCTTATTCTACTGATGAGCCAGGATGAGGAAGAGAAAAGAGCAAGAAGAAGAAAAGGGAAAAGGAGAAGGAAGAAAATAAGAGAGGAGAATGGGTGGAAGGAAGAAGAAGGAAGAAGGGAGGAGGGAAGGAAAAAGTAAACAGAGGTGGGGGAACATACCATTCTAGAAAATTCTGGTTACAAACAGTTACATGTTCCCATTTTGGAATGGAGGAATCAAGCATGACCTACTTTCAGAAGTGACTCAAAATTGTGAAACTGGGACATGTTCTTGACAGACCAATGTGAGCTGTTTGGGAATCTCCTGCACATTTCCAGAGAGTAATTCAGCCAGGTCTTTCAGCTTCCCTTAGGTCAAAGGGAAGACATGCACATGCATAGACAAAAGTACTTCAGATGTTCTCACAGCAAAATAATGCTTTTTTGCCTGGGTGGAGGGAATGTGAGAATGTTTTTCAGAGGAGAGGAGGGAGATTAGAGAGGGCCAGAGAAAGATGAATGGGAAAGATCCCATTAAACCTAGGCTCAGATGGTTTTCATGGGTTTAAGGATGTTATGTTTGGATGTGGCTAAAATATGTGTGGGCATTTGTGCTCATGATGATGGTAAGCTGGATTTTCATGCACATGGGAGCATTAACTTTCAATAGCACAATGACATTCACCACCTGGTAAAAGTTCATCATCAGCTAAAATATGTAGTTAACCTCTGTTTCCAGTATAGTCTGCTACAGAAGACCATCCAGGATTGAAAGGGACTTTAAAGAGTAATGTTGTCCAACACCCAAACAAACTCTAAGGACACTGTCAGATAACTTAGTCCATCCAAAGTCAGCTCTGATTTAATATAAACCTCATTTTTAGGACAAATAAAAATCTTCCCCTCTTGTCTTCCCATTTGTAGGTCTGAGTTTTACTCCCAGCCACGTCTAAAACTCTCCAAAGAGGCGCCGCGGCTCAATAGGCTAATCCTCCACCTAGCGGCGCCAGCACACCGGGTTCTAGTCCCGGTTGGGGCGCCGGATTCTGTCCCAATTGCCCTTCTTCCAATCCAGCTCTCTGCTGTGGTCCGGGAGTGCAGTGGAGGATGGCCCAAGTGCTTGGGCCCTGCACCCCATGGGAGACCAGGAGAAGCACCTGGCTTCTGCCTTCGGATCAGCATGGTGCGCTGGCCACAGCGCGCCAGCCACAGTGGCCATTGGAGGGTGAACCAACGGCAAAGGAAGACCTTTCTCTCTCTCTCTCTCTCTCTCTCTCTCTCTCACTGTCCACTCTGCCTGTCAAAAACAAAACAAACAAACAAAAAAACTCTCCAAAGAGTGTATGGTGGATTGAGCAACGTGGATTTATGTTTATTTATTCTTTTCTATTCAAGACATTTATCTTGGTCAAAATATGCTGTTTATATTCTAAGAGGACCTGGTGAGAGCACAAATCAGAGGCTTGGCTTTAGTATCCCAATTAATAGAAGCCCTTGTACTTGAGAAAACATTCTGGGATCTAGAAAGCATAGCCAAATATCCAATCCAAAATGTGTCATCTTCCATCTGCTTGACTGAATCCTAGGAATCCTGGGCTAAGTAAAAGGCTTTTATTCAGTAAGAGCTCACATTTTGGAAACACCTCTCCTGGGAGAGGCATTAAGACATTGCCTACACACAGTGTCTCACTCTTGGTCCCAACTTTATAAAACACAAAATTCCCAAAATATGAGCTTATGAGTGGAAAATTCTTATGGAGGGCAATGTTGTCTCAATGCCTTTATCTTCTTCCCTCTGGGCTTACCTTCCCGGAACACCAAGGAGCAATCTCCCTTCTCTCCTATCAGCATTCCCACTATACCCAGTACTAGAACTTTATTCAGACCCTTTTCTTCTCCATGCGAAGCATAGACAAAATCTTTTCCCCCTCAGGATGGAATTTTCCAGTTTATCTTTATTGAAAACTAACAGAAATCCAAAGGGAAATAAAAGGAAAAAAGGGGGATAATCAGGAAAAAAAAAAATGTTACCCTCACAAAGTATAGGCTTTAAACATAACAATAGCTAATGGTTTTGTTAAATAGTTTCCATGCTCAGAATTGTGTTTTGCCTGCCTTCTTCCCCACTGAGCCCTTTTGGTGGAGTAAAGGAAATAACAACAAGGTAGAGGGCCTCTTCTTGCTGAGCCCTGAAGCCCCCACATTTTACCAGATACATATTTATACCAATGAAATAGCACAGACCCAATGGCTCAACATGTTTTGCTCCCACTTTTCTTTTGGAAAATGCTAAATGAAAATGCTAAATGAAATGCTAAACAAACTTGCAGAATGTTAAGATTTGGCAAAATCCCTAGAGATCATTCTATCTAAACTCTTCACATTTTAAATAGACAAAAAGGAATCTCCATAGTGAAAGATGACTTATCCAAGTTCACCTCATAGCAAGACAGTGATATGAGAAAGACTTGCAATGCACAAGACTAAATATTAAGGATTGTACTTCTGAGGACCAATTGTTTTTAATGGGAAGAATGCAGAAAACAAAGGAGAACAGTGAATGCAAAGGCTTGATGGAAGAAACGTCGAGGGGTGTTTCTCAGAAGTTTCCTGAGGCCTGCCACTACCACTGAAGCTTCTATGTTAATATGTCATCCACTTTTGATTTCTTCCTGTGTTCTCCCTCTTTAGGCCATCCCATCCTGGAAGCTCCAGAGAGTGTGACAGGGCCATGGAAAGGAGATGTGAATATTCCCTGCACCTATACCCCCCTGCAAGGCTACACCCAAATCTTGATGAAGTGGCTAGTACAACGTGGCTCAGATCCAGTCACCATCTTCCTGCGTGACTCCTCTGGAGACCACATCCAACAAGCAAAGTATCGTGGCCGCCTGCACGTGAACCAAGAGGTTCCAGGAAATGTGTCCCTCCAACTGAATATCCTGGAGATGGATGATCGGAGTCACTACATGTGTGAAGTCAGGTGGAAGACCCCTGATGGCCACCAAGTGGTGAAAGATAAGACCATTGAGCTCCGAGTCCAGAAACGTGAGTCACTGTTGGGGTAGCAAAGCACTGATAAGCAAAGAAGCCATAGGGGACTAGGTTACCCATAGAGTAATCCTAGAAATGCCTTGGAAACCCAGAGACCTTTGTTGTTCTCTACATATGCTCTCTTCAGTTCTGTGCTGATCAGTTTTGTAAAACTTTGCTTTATAACTTTGTCAACCCAATGGTTAAGAATGTTATACTAAACTTAAAAAAAAAAGGAACTAGAACAACGCATGCCAACATTCTTTACATTCTAAACATTTCTGTACAGTGAGAGTTACTTCAAAAAATGGTATTCTACTGTAATTTTAATGATCCGTGACTGCTTTAAAATTTACTGTATATGGCTTAAGTGGTCACTTTCCCATTCAATTATTGTTTATAACCATTGTCTATATTCCCACTAAACTAGGGTCCTTTTTGTTTTTTACTTGTTAAGCTTCTTATTCAGTGAAGTATTAAGCCATTTTTTTTACTGTAACATAAATTTAAAACATGTTATCTCAAAAACTAAAAAACAAAGAAAGGAAGAGGGAAAGGAGGGTGGAAGGAAAAGGGGGCAGGGAGGGCAGGAGGAAGGAAATATCAATATAGTCTTAGAATTGTACCTACAAACCACATTGAATTGTAAAAAACCTAGTTTAATTTTTCTAATTTTTTAAAAAGACTGAAAAGCACTTTATTGACAATAAAAGTGTAAATTGTTTAATTCTTATCTTTTTATATAGTTTTGCTATAACACCATGATTAAAATAGTAAATTTCCCTTTTAAAAAAAAGAGAGATGAACAAGTAGAGTATCTTCAGGATTGTCACTGTATGGAAGAATGTAGAAAGTGTTGTGAAGAGTTCTTGACCTTCAAATTTCTACCTCTTGAAGTGTCCCAGAAATTCTAGCAACCATAGCCTCAAGGACCTCCATGAACTTTGGGTCTTAAAACTCATAGAAATGAATATATCCAATCAGGGTATTGAAAAGTAGACAAATACTTGGTAGTGAAGCCCTGGAGAAGTGGATGCAAGGGTTAACCAAGATAAGATTTGCTGACTTGCAATTTTATAAGGCATGTCCTTGGTATTCCAAATCTGCTGATAATCCAAAAGCTACTTGAGTATAAATAATGGCTTTATTTTTTAAAGATTTATTTATTTTTATTTGAAATTCAGTGTTATAGAGATGGAGAGAGAGACTGAGAGAAAAATCCTCTATCCACTGGTTCACTCTCTAGGTGGCCACAGTGGCCAGGGCCCAGGCCAGGCTAAACCAAGAGCCAGGGCCAACACACTTGGGCCATCTCCGGCTGCTTTCCCAGGCTATTAGCGGGGATCTGAATCAGAAGTGGAGCAGCCAAGACACAAACCAGTGCCAATATGGGGTGCTGGCATTGCAAACAGCTGCTTTTACCCATTATGCCACAATGCTGTCCCTGCCATTATTTTTTAAAATCAGTTGATTTTTAACTCCAGATAATTCCAATCCCAGATACTGAAAAGAAAGTGTCTAATCCATCAAAGAAAGCTATTTTTAATTTGCATTGCCTTTTTTCCTTCATCCCTCCCAAGTCAGGAGCTCCCCCTTTAGTTCCACTTACAGATAAATGCATACCCTTATAACCATCAGGAATAACTTGGCCTTGTGTCACCATAGCCTTATGACTTCTCAGAACCCCCTCTCTTGTCTTCCCTCTGCAGTTTCTGTCTCCAAGCCCACAGTGACAACTGGCAGCAGTTATGGCTTCACGGTGCCCCAGGGAATGAGGATTAGCCTTCAATGCCAGGCTTGGGGTTCGCCCCCCATCAGTTATGTTTGGTACAAGGAACAAGCTAATAACCAGGAACCCATCAAAGTAGCAGTCCTGAGTACCTTACTCTTCAAGCCTGCAATGGTAGCTGACTCGGGCTCCTATTTCTGTACTGCCAAGGGCCGGGTTGGCTCCGAGCAGCGCAGCGACGTTGTGAAGTTTGTGGTCAAAGGTAAGCAACTCCCTCTCCTTGTGAGAATATTAGCAGAGTGCCTTGAATCAGAGATACCTCAAAGCAGAGCACATATGCCAGAGAAGTACTGAGAATGGGGCCCTTGGTAGGCAATGATTGTAAAATCACAAAGAAAAAAATTTTAGGACTGGAAACAACAGCACTAGAGATAGTACTCAGCATATTAAGATGGAAAAGAGACAAGTGATAATATATATCTCATATTGCCAGGTACAAAGTATATGAACCCTACACATACTTTCTCATTGAATCCCCACAACTGTTTCATGGTATAGCTATTGTCATTCCCATTATATAGAAGAAGAAACAGAGTCAGGAAGGGAAATCTAGTCACTCATATAGGTTCACAGCACGAAAGTGCAAATCTAGACTTGCACTCAGATTCCGTGCTCTTTCCACTACCTCTGCTCATTTCTCGTGGTTGAATCTGTATCAGATCCTGGAAACATTTTGGAAGCTAATATTTTGTTCTTTTTGTTTGGTTGTTGGTAGTGGGTTTTTTGTTGTTGTTGTTGTTGGGCTTCTTTTTAAAATTTTATTTAAAGTATACAAGTTTCATGTATCTTGTATATATGCATTTAGTAACATAGTGATACTCCCCACCTCCCTCCCTACTATGCTCACACCCTTCTTCTTCCTCCCTCTTCCTAATTTTTACAAAGATCTATTTTCAGTTTACATTATACTCTTAAGATTAACCCTACACTAAATAAAGAGTTCAACAAATAGTATTAAAAAAAATACTGCTCCTTAACAGTGGAAAAGGACTATTAATAATCATCCAGCCTCAAAATGTCAAATTCGCTCCTATATGTTATATTTTTTATTTGATTGTTGTTTTGCTTATTTAATGAAGTTTGGTTTTGCTTTATGAGATACAGCCCAGATATCTGCATGCTTTCTTATAGTCCCCTTCCTTTCTTCCTAAACTCAAGTTCAAGTTCTGGTTGAATATGGGCTCTGGTTAATTCAGGTCTATTTCTTACAGCACTCCCATAGCTCTACTAACTATACATAGATCCTGACCTATTAGTTTTGAGAGTAGCAAGGGTTTTCTTACCCTGAGTTACATGGACAATGCCCCTGTTTTCTAAGAGTTAACATTCTGGTCAAAAACAAGGAAAGTCGTGATCACAAAGACCAAGAATATGTCTTTCATAAAGAGCAATGTGAACATTTTTGCTTTCTGTGAGTTAGCTCCTGAACCATCTGGACAGATGCTTATTCATAGACAACCAGTCTATTTCTTTTAACCACAGTCAGTTCTTAGTACAATGTCATTAAGCAACGTTCGCCATTACCTCCTACTAACAGATAAGAAAACAGAGGCCCATAAAAGTTACTTTCAGCTTGCCACGCTTCCCTGCTCTCTGAATCATGCTACTGTATCTTGGTTTCCTCTGCCTGCTTCCTTCTCTATCCCAAACTGGTTGTATGACTCTAGCTCCCTCTGTCTCCTCTGCCTTACAGAGTTCTTAAACTTTCACCCACCTTACCCTCTATGTTGTTCTTCAGTGCTGGAATGGCCATAGAGGCCACGCCTTTCCTCCTACTCTTACACTGCTGAGTTCTGCTGACAAGGAAAACAAAACATCACCAATATACATTGTCCCCACTTTAGTTAAATGTTCTGCAATATTCACTGCCTGCCCACCCCCATTCTGTTTGCCAGTCTATTTATTCATGTTTGTCTCATACCTTATAAGAGAACTTCAGAGCAATTCCACATTTTTTCAGGCCTCTAACCCAGCTTCTGGAAGAGGAAGTCACCTCCTTCTCTGAAAAGATCCAGACCCTTTTCAGATATGAATTCTATTAACTTTTCTTCTCTATGAATTCCATCAACTACTCTCCTCTCAGCCTTGATATTTCCCTTACCCATTCCCATATTTCCTCTTGGCACAGAGTAAGACAGCCTTTGCTCCTCTCCACAGCAATCCTTCCTCCTGAACTCAACTTCAGCTACTCCTACTCTCTGCTCTACCCAGCTAAGTCAAACATGCATGTAATATATAGTATAAATATATATACATATACATACACATTTTTTTTTTTGACAGGCAGAGTGGACAGTGAGAGAGAGAGACAGAGAGAGAAAGGTCTTCCTTTGCCGTTGGTTCACCCTCCAATGGCCGCCGCTGCAGCCGGCGCACCGCACTGATCCTGGCAGGAGCCAGGAGCCAGGTGCTTTTCCTGGTCTCCCATGGGGTGCAGGGCCCAAGCACCTGGGCCATCCTCCACTGCACTCCCTGGCCATAGCAGAGAGCTGGCCTGGAAGAGGGGCAACCGGGACAGAATCCGGCGCCCCAACCGGGACTAGAACCCGGTGTGCCGGCGCCGCAAGGTGGAGGATTAGCCTATTGAGCCACGGCGCCAGCCCATATACATACACATCTATAACATATTTATGTTGTTCTTCAAAATATGTCTCTCAGTTTGGCACTTTTTCTCTCCTACAGTCACGACCAACCTTGTAAAGAAGGGAGATTCTACCAGCTGCACCTCCCAATTCTCCACACTATAACATTCTAAACTTCAGCATTGACCTCCAAATCACCAAAAAACAAAATCTTCCATTCACATTCATCCTTCTCAACATCTCTGTAGCAGCTGACCCTGTTGCCCATTCTTTCCTGCTCCAAATTCTTTCAACTATTTCTATCAATGATATCACTCTGTCCTGGTTCTCCTAAGACTTCTTTGTTCTTTCTCAGACTCTTTTGCTGGTTATTTTTTCATTAACTCCTTAATAATAAGAGTTCTCAAAGACTTCATTCATATTCCCCTTTTCATGTATCTCTATAGTGTTGGAGGATTTTACTCAATTCTGCAGCTTCCAATATCAGTTCTAGGCTAATATCTCTCAAACCATAATGTTATCCTTAGTTTCTCTCCTGAGTGCAGATCTCAATGCCTAATTACCTTCTGGACAGCTTCATTTCTAATATCAGCTTCTCTAAAATTGAACTTACCTTTACTCACCAAACCAGCTCCTCAAACATGTTGGAAGACACCATGTTATCTTTTGATTCTTCCCTATCCTTTACTTCATGACCAAATAATAATTAAATTTATCAACTGCTGTAAAATCAAATGACTAAATCAGATCTATTATTAAGTTCATTCATTCTCTTCACATATCCTCATGGTCTAATCATGGTTTTTTTTTCCTGAACAGTTTCAACAGTCTTCTAAATGACTTCCCCATGTCTGTCAATTGTCATCAAACCACTAACTTATCCAGCTCTTATTTAGTGTGTATTTTATGTCACTAGATCATAAAACCCTCACGTACATAATTCTGCCTATTTCATGGATGCTCTCCAGAGTTCAGATAAGTTCTTAGTGCTTAGGAGACACTAAATGAATATTTGTTGAAGAATGAGCTCACTTGGTTAAAACTCTCATTACACAGTGAGAATTATTTTTTCTAAAACTTACACTGAGTAAGTTTTTCTTTATTCATCAAAAACCTTCTATTACTCCCCATGGATCCTCACAAACAAATAGCAAAGCCCAAGCTTTTAGTCTCTTCTTAGTCTACCTAGTATACCTTATCTTCTAATATTTCTCTTCACATTTGAAACATAGCATGATGTTCCTTCTGCCTAAAGAAATTTTATTAACCATTCAGTGACATCTTTTTGTATTGGAAAATACTTCACATACTAAAAAATTCAGCCTTTAAAATTTTTTGTTAATTTATTTTTTATTTATATTAAAGACAGAGAGATATCTTCCAACCACTGGTTCACTACAACAATGTGTGCAACAGCCAGGAATGAACTAAGCTGAATACAGGAGCCTTGAACTCAATCCAGATCTCCCACATGATTGGCAGAGACCCAACCACTTGGAGCATCACCTGCTGCCCTACAGGGTATGCATCAGCAGGAAGCTGGAATCATGAGCTAAACTAACTCTCAAACCCAGGCACTCCAATATGGAATGCTGGCATTCCAAGCAGTGGTATTAATTGTTGAGCAAACACCTGCTCTAAATTCAACATTTTAAGGTATATAATTCAGTAGTTCATATGGTTGATTTATTATCACTATTATCTGGTTCCAGAACATATCAACCAACCCAAAAGGAAACTTCATACCCATTAAGCAGTCACTTCTATCCCTTTGTTCCCCTAATTTCTAGAAAACACTAATTTGTATTCTGTCCTTCCTCATTTACCTATTCTGAATATTTCATATAATTTTGAATCATACAGTATGTGACCTCTTATGTCTCTTCTCTTTCACTGAAAATAATGTTTTCAAGGTTTATCCATGCTGTAGCATATATCAGTGCTCCATCATTTTTATTAGTAAATAATTTTCCATTACATGGATACACTACACTATTTATCCATTCTTTATTAAATGAGCACTTGGGTTGCACTGACATTTTGGCCATTATGGATAAAAAAAAACTGCTATGAAAAATGATATAAAATGTTTGTTTGGACATGTTTGTAGTCCCCTTAGCTATATGACTAAGATGAGAATTTTCAGGTCATATAGTAACTCTGTGTTTAACTATTTGAGGATCAGTTAAACTTTTTCCAAAAGTTTAAACAATTTTACCTTCCCACCAACAATATATGAGAGTTGATGTCATATCTAAGGGTCTATTGACAAACCAAGCTCATGAACAATTACTCCTACATTTTCCTTTAAGAGTTTTATAGTTTTATTTATTTATTTATTTATTTGGCAGGTAGAGCTACAGACAGTGAGAGAGAGGGACAGAGAGAAAGGTCTTCCTTCCGTTGGTTCACTCCCCAAATGGCCACAACGGCCGGAGCTGCACCGATCCAAAGCCAGGAGCCAGGTGCTTCTTCCTGGTCTCCCACGTGGGGTGCAGGGGCCCAAGCACTTGGGCCATCCTCTACTGCTAACCCAGGCCATAGCGGAGAGCTGGACTGGAAGAGGAGCAACCGGGACTAGAACCGGCGCCCGTATGGGATGCCGGCACCACAGGCAGAG